TAATGTTTCCTGGATTTCTAATGTGATGTTCTTAATATTTGAGCACAAATGAATAAATAATGGAAGTTTCTGATAATAAAAGTGAAACTTTGGATTATCTGCTGAATGTTTGATAGACGTTTTAAATGACCTGTGTTCAGTTCTGAGAGAAAATCCACTATGGTGAGGAGTTATGTTCTTTCATTTCTTCTCGTCTGTAAAAGAACCTGGCAGGCTCTGTTAATTCACATTTTTTGAGAAATATTAATATGACTTAAAGTTAACAGAATCTATTAACATGAGCAGCTCAAATATAAGACGGCTGATGTGTTGTGTAAACGACTGTCTAAACTGCTTCACAGTCTGGTTTTCATACATGTGTTATTGTGTCAGAAGGCTGGTAACAGTGTTGGAAGTTTGAGTGAACAAACTAAAGGATCCTTGAACTTAAASCAAAGTTTCAGTCACGTTCCGCTGCATCGATTTATTTTTAAGAACGTTATAAAAGAGCTGCAAGTTAACTTCGTTCAGTTTTTTCTTCTCAGTGCAATCAACTCATCAGATTCAAAGCCATCTGAAAAAAGTCCAATGCAGCACTTTTCAAAATAAAATTCCTTTCAATGGGGACCTTCACTCGTTACGTCACATGCCATTCAAAAGATCGGACAGATGGAGAGTCAGAGTCAATACCGTAACAGGAAAAGACGTTTCTATAGCAAAAGTTCAGTTGACATGTTGTCTGGAGAGTCGAGGTCTTCGACAGACTTGGAAAGTGAGTGGAACTGTTAAAAATGTTGGTGTTTTTACCGATGTTTTCTAGCTTAGCTTGCAGCATCTATCGTGTGTGTCTGTGTCACTGCTTCTGCATTGTTTGAACAAATTTAATAGTGATGCTTAGAATTTGTGTAAGTATAATATTATCACTGTATGTGTGACTGACTGCAGTAGATCTCCGTATGAGACTAGCAGTAAAAGTAGAATGGGAGGCAGAGCTTTCAGTTATCAAGCTCCTCTCTTGTCGAACCAACTTCCAGTTTCTGTCCGTGAGGCTGACACTCTGTCTACTTTTAAGATTAGACTGAAGACTTTCCTTTTTCATAAATCCTATAGTTAGACTTAGGTTTCCTGAATTATTCTTCATTTCTGCTGCTATAGACTTAGACTGCTGGAGCACAAACTGAGCACATTTCCTCACTCTGCTGTTGTCTTTAGTCTCTCTTCTCTACATGTTTATTGTTATTATTTCTATCATTTTTTTCTTTATCTCTTCCAGAAGAAGGTGCACCTGGACCAGTTCTTCTGTGTTTGTGTCTCTTTCCTGTCCTCCAACCAGCRGGTCGAGGCAGATGGTCTCCTGTCCTGAGCCTGGTTCTAGTGGAGGTTTCTTCCTGATTAGCAGGGAGTTTTTCCTCTCCACCGTTTGCTCAGGATGGGAGACTGTGATGAAGTGATTCAACACAATCTGCTGGTTTCTTCTTTACATTGTTCTTTTTATGTACAGTGTCCTGAGACAACGTATGTTGTGACTTGGCGCTATATAAACTTGAACTTAGGCTACAGTAAAACCAATAGGGTTTACAGTATCTGTTTATTGACAAATTTCAGGGATAGAAGCTGGGTGGTTTAGTGTTGGTATTTTATGTTTTGTAAAATGTTTGGAACAGATGTTAAGTCCTTTGTTGCACTTTTTTCTGGTCAAATTCAGCTCGTTCCATCGCTTGAATCCAGCGGTTAGCTTAGCGTCTTAGCTTGGGAAAAGTGATCAAARATACTCGAGTTGGTGGTTGTATCCTGACTCACTGTTTTAAGAACAGTAACACAATGTTTTGTGGTCCTCCTGGTGGAGTTTGATGCTGTTTTCCTGAATTTATTTAAGTTTAAACACAGCCAGACTGGCACAAGACTTTGTACGTGCATCAGTGTCGAGTGGACAGAGGCACTCGTGTTCTAAAAACAGCTGAGTGAGGGTCCCCATTAAAAATGTTTGTTTTGATTTTGTTGCAGCAGTTTTTAGGTTAAAGATAAGTGAGTACTGCAGTTTTAATATTTCATTGTAGACATAATGCCCTTCTCCTCATACCGATCAAACCTCTTTTCTTTCCAACAAGTGTTTAGTTTCATTGCAGGTTTGAGTCCGATACGCCTTCTCTAATGCTCAAGTGGAGAAAAAAAAGGTAGTTAATCTTTGCTTTTACTGCTGCTGGTTTTTCTGAGGTCAGAGGTCATTGTGTTGATGTACTGATGTTATTACAGGGACTTGGAGTGAAGCCATCCAAAACCATTGGCTAACTGTGAACAGTGTGTTAGCACACTGCATTTCCTCCTCCTCCTCCTTTAAACAGTCAAACATTCTGATGCATATTTAAATATTTTTTATATATGTATGTTTGTACATAGCACATAGGCACACACATTCAGATAAAAAACAAACAAAATAAAATCTATTCATTCTAGTCTAGTCTTCCTAACAGTGATCAGTGACTGAACACCCGCTCGTTATCTCGGCTTCAGAACGAGAAACTCTTGTTTGCAAATGATTAAAAATAATTTTGGAAGTCTGTTTTGCTTCTTATAAAAACTCCAAACGTCGTGGAGCATACATACTAGCATAGAAAAGGAAGAACAAAGTCATTTTGAATTWTTTTTTTCTCGACTTAATTATCTTTTTTGATATACAACAATATTCTATCATTTAACATCTTGACTAAACATGACTAGCTGTATATGAGATTTTTCATAAATATGTTACATTTCAGAAAGTGTTGAAAAAAGTGCAACAAATATTTATTTTATTTTATTTTTTTTTAGATCACAAACACTTCTGTGAGTACATGTAAATTAAATATTGGTAATAGCTTTGAGTTTCCATAGCTGCACTAAGGTTTTTGACAGCTAACAGTAGCTACACAGAGATTTTCTTTTGAAACCCGACTCACGGAGCACAAATAGAAGCCGATGCAATGACTGGATGTTTACTAGGAGGCGAGCACTTCTGCTCTCTACACACACCTACGTTACGTCCTCAAACGCCTAGGTGCCTTTTTTTAAAACTATCATCCTGTACGTGTGTGTATAAAGTGTGTTGTACAGTATATGTCTATCTATATAATACAGTACAGTCTTATTTTATCATCCTCTCTTGGGGTCTCTCTCCACTTAAACAAAAAATCATACATCAGCTCCGGGCGGAGTGAGGTGTTGCAAAGAGGACAAACCTGCTGGTTGTTTTAGAAACAAAACTATCCTGCCTGCTGAGAAAAGTGAGTAGCTCTGTACTTTGTGAAGTTCAGTTAGTTTATCCTGAGGTAAAACATTTTGTGCGAAGCTTAAAGAAAAGAAACCAGTGACTCGTCGAGGCACAGCCCACCTCCGTGCTCTGTTACTGTGTGAGAGTTGGTGTGGGAAATATTTGGTGTACAGATCCTCTGCTACGGCGTGTTTGTGAGGAAACACGACCGAGTCTGCTGCAAATTCACCTCACATGTGACGGTTTTTTTGCTCGCTGTCGTTTTGGGGGAAATGCAGACAAACTCGCTGCAYCGCGTGCGCCACTGAAACGTTAAAAAAGACGAGCTGAATTTCGATTTCCTCAAACTGACTTAAAGTAGAAAAACATGCATCAAAGTTGTCCGTTTCAAAGCAGCTCATGTGTGGATGAACTYATCTAATTGCTCCACAGTATAATCCATTACACTCACGTTCTAATAAATCTTATTTACAGGCTACAGTTGCTACCGATTTGTCAAAGTTTTCTGCATTATTTAATAACACTCTCACATTCTGCTCTGAATACAATACGCTCCAACATGGAAACTAGATCTAGACGAGCCACACACTGCAAAAAAAATGTCTACCTAACCAAGTTTTAAAACCTTATATCCAGCCAAAAATATCTTTTTGATCTTGTTTTGAGACTGATTTACTAAACAAGGACTGAATGTTTGATTATTTGTCTTGTTAGTCTGAAAATTTGACTCAAATTAAGTCAAAAATATCTGCCGATGGAGTAAGAAAATTTTACTTGGTAAGATTCTTGAAATACTTGATTTGACTCAATTTGTTCTTACTTCAAGAATCTTACCAAGTAAAATTTTCTTACTCCATCGGCAGATATTTTAACTTAATTTGAGTCAAATTTTCAGACTAACAAGACAAATAATCTTACACATTCTGAAAACAAGATTATTATTCTTACACAATCAGTTCTTGTTTAGTAAATCAGTCTCAAAACAAGATAAAAAAGAAGTCTCTTGGAGGAGAGACGAAACGTTTCATTAGAGAAGAACCCGTCCAGAAGACCTACAGTATACAATATTTTCTTTTTGAAGATCAAAAGACTTTTTGGCTGATATAAGATTTTAAAACTTGGTTAGATGGACAGTTTTTGCAGTGCAGAACTTTATTCTAACAGTTGCAGCTTTTAGGACATATTTTTATTTTTTGTGTGTGTATAAAGTCTGATGGTGGAACTTTATCGATTGTTGGCCTCAGGTTCTGCTTATTGGGAGAACTTTTCAAACACAGCCAGAATGTCCTCTGTGGTTGTCGAAGAGCCTTATTAAGTGTAAGAAAAACTGATCTCTGTAGGATTATCGCTTTGGCTTGAAGAAAAGACATTTACTAAACAAGGTCAAGTAAAAGAACGGCAACCCTTSGAGCAGTTTTGGGCAGCTTAAAATGAACGCTTCATTTGACTCGTGCTCACTCCCGATCGCTCCGATAAATTATTCAAAATACCACTGAGCATGAGATGAGATGTGAATTTAAGCTGCCAATGGGAAAAGCAAATGCTCATCCGCAGTATTTACCTTTTGGCTGTGCTTATAGGATGGTTGTCCCTGAACACAACCCTACCAGTGATACATTTGCCCCCCCACACTGCTGCAGAGTAGTCACATATAAAAGAATTTGCAGGAGACTGGGCCACATGAGCATTGTGAGTTCTGAAACTGAAATCTGGCCTTTATGACCCTTAACTCTGCATGCTGTCATTCCACATTGTACAGCTTGTAAGGCTCCACTGCAAGTGCACAACAGTTGGACACTTTAATGTTAAAAAGGAAAAGACAGAGCAGTCAGAGCAGTGCTGTCTTTGAGCTAAGAATCACCGGGCTGTTTGTGGGAATTTCTACAGGTTTCATGATGGTTCAGCGTTGGAAAGTGAATTAAATCGGTGTCGACCCAATTCCTGTCGTTTGGCAGGTCTTTAACACAGAGATGTCCCAGTATATTCTTAGTCAGACGACAGCAGCTGCATACACACACCTCTGAGCATGCATCATGCGTGCTGCAGGAGGCTCACATTGGTTATGGTGACACAGCACCCATGTACAGCAGTCAAGAGAATGCACATGTGCATAAAAGTTCCCAAAAGAAAACCAGAAGCACAAAAATGAATACAAAACAAGAGCAGACCAATGATGACATCAAAGAGGTTGTTGTAGAAATATCTGCTTGAGAGGGTGTCAGGGGGAGGGGCTCAGCATGTGGACCTGGAAGCTTTTTGTTTGATTTAGCTCTCCACCAAGGACTGGGTGTTCACTTGTTTTGTTAGTCTTTTTTTAAATATCTTTTAAAGATAGATAGATATTTTGTTGTTTGGGGTAATGTCTCTCTGTCTTTTCTGGCTTTTTTCTTTCTTTTAGTAGGGAGTGAAGCGACTGTACCCTCCTCTGTATAGGCTAGCCTGCAACATCAAAGATGAAAAAGTACCAATCAGTATTCAGGTGACAGCTTTCGTTGGATTCTCTTTCTCTACAAATTTCCTTCCTTTAAAGTTATCGACTTTTCATGTTGGAGCAACGTTCTGTATATGGATGGTCYTGAGGCAGATTGATAGTTTGGTATATTTAAGCCAATAATTGTTTTTTGCTGAATTGATTGACTGAGTGTGTGTTAGGAACAGGGTCGGTGGAGTTGGGGCTAAGCTGGTGCCTTTTTTATTATTATTATTAATATAAAAACTAGCTTCAATATTTCTTCAGACTCCAATAATTATATATA